AACTGACACTGACATACCATTGCATGGCATGGTATCGGCCAAGTACGCCTTCTATACGCCTATTAGTATTCTTGATGAAGTCGAGGGTGGGGCGCATCTTAAAGCCGGATGACTACAATCTCATATTTTTATCCTCCATACTATGTAGTAAATTCAGCGGAGTCACTTCATATTTTTGTAAAGCCTCCTTTGAGTGGGAAAAGCGAATATATCGTTTCATCAAAAAGCGGACATAGTATCTCCTAAACAGGAAATAGGTGCTACAGCATTCCCAGGCTCACTCAGAATTCTCCATTCCGCTGAGACTCTCGAAATCAGGAGGAACTGAGCTTTATATCCCATTCGTAAGTGTGCAATGGCAATTAGAAATGCGATTTTAAAACCCAACAGCCTACAAAAGAAGCTATATGGACCGTAATCTGTATATTCATCAAAGTAGTGGGTGGAAAGTTCAATGGACGTCGGTGGCTTGTGATGTAGGAGGAATTCGATGAGTGCGAGTGATATGATTGAACTCATTGATAGACGTCATAGAACAGCCATGAGCTCACAGCAATCGACAAAATCATCAGACTGCTGACTCAAGCACGTGGTAAAAAGAATGGATCGGGAATAGCAACTATTTGGGATGAGTCGTACATCGTTTCACTTTGTCAATGTCAAAGTTTACTCCCCGTTTAATCTTTTGACAAATGCTCTAAGGTTATCAGTAATCAACCGGATTTTTTGAAGGATTGCGTCGTTTTTACCTAAGTTACAACGCTCCAATATTTCCCAATGAGTCCAGCCTAGTGTTCTCTCCTTTTTCATATAATGGAGTACTGTAAGTCGGGAATGCTTGACAAAATGTAAAAAATTGGTGCTTTCACTCGGAAATCGACTTCTTTGTTCGTTAGATTTCATAGAAATCGGTTTTTTCCTTATTCGAGTGCGATATAGAAGGGACTCTCCGATCTTCAATGAAACTCGTTTCTTTTTTACTTTTTTCTTTACTTTGGAGCTTTCCAGTTAGGCTTACAGTAGATACCTCTATTCCATTTGCTCATGGAATAACAGATATTACATACATAATCAGCTCTGATCGCTTCCTGGAGACAATTATGTAATAGCTCCTATTATGAGTTATCACATAACTGCTTGACAATTAGATGATACTTAATGATAAGCAATCGTCAAGTTCAATGGTACCTGACTGGTAAGCATTTCCGACTTACAGTACTTCATTATATGAAAAAGCAGAGAACACTAGGCTGAACTCATTGGGAAATCCTGGAGCGCTGTAACTTAGGTAAAAACGACGCAATCCTTCAAGAAATCTGGTTGATTACTGATAACCTCAGAGCATTTGTCAAAAGATTAAACGGGGAGTAACCTTTGACATTGAGCCTCATAGGAACTAATCCCTAGTACATCTGCAGATTTCTGCTACAAGTCATGACTTTGGAAACGCTTCGGATCAGACAGAACAGACCAACTGAATGAGGGTTGTGATTGAATAGATAAAACAAACGATGACAAGGTGACGTGACAAGCATGACAGACAAACCGACAGACAGACGAATGAACAAACAGCCATACCAAACTTATGATGTGAGGAGGTTTACATAAAGTAAGGTGTACGGATCACGGAGATGCCATTGATCAAAATTGATCGGGTAAAACCATCGTTTACGGAAGTCTCTACCATCTAGACATGCTGCACAGGTAAATTAGAAAGTTCTAGTCTAGTGGGTTACTCTCCACTTGGGTAACTTCAAACTGCTTTCGAATACTCTGCTCTAGACGCAAGAAGGACACATCATAAAAATAAGCCAAGAGCCAGTAAGACAGCATGGAGAGAGAAGCGTAACTATGCAATCTTTAATCCCTTTTTAATTCGCCGAATTCAATTTTCGGAGATGAAAATTATGCTGGCAAGAAGATGGGCAGAGCGCAGTCAGGCAAAATCCTGCAGGCGCTTAAGGAAGGGTGATGGATTTTGGAAAAAAGATATTCGAAAGTTCTGATTTTTACACTAGTTCAGTTTGATCAATTTATGCTACACAGAGAGAGCTACTTCACCTCCTATTATAGTGGCTCTCTTTATGAAGCATAGATAAGATTGATCATACCTGGGCTCTGGCACCTTCTTGGAAGGACACGAGCAAGCTCAAATCATCTTACGGGGTCGTTTTCCCATCAACTTTACGTGAATATATCAAAAACTAAAACAAATAGTCCACGTGCACATTATTGAGAAAAGGAAAAACTCGGAAAAGCTCACATGATGAATGGGCCTAAGTTGCTGATGAACTCGGTTATGGAAAATTTGGTCCACAGAGTTATCTTTATTTAAAGACCCTGAACACAAATCAGTCCATAATCACGAGTCATAAACCGCAGTTTATTGTTAGAAGGAAAATTCTGCACTCTAAAGGATCACTTATTCGTCATCACCCTTGTACTCTCCGTTTTTTCTCGACATTTTGCAAGTGCATAAGGGCTTAGCAACTGGATAAAAAAAGCTCTCAAATTAATTACTATATACTAGCTGCAGGTGAGCTTGTCATTGGTATTTGCAGGAATACTGTAGGCTAGTTTTGTCGCAAGATTTTTTGAGTAGTTGACTCCCACAGACAGTCTTTCATACTAAATAAAGCTAGGAATTCTGTTGCAGCTTGATATCTTCAGCGTTTTTGCGGCAGAACCAAATATTACCAACTCTGAAGAAACCAGTTGGACAACCCAATCGGCTCGCAGAAGCTGTGGGAGAAGCAGTGGCAAGTGGCGTTACAACTTCCGTGATCTGCAGTACCTGTCCTCCAGAGTGTTAATCGTCTAGGGAGGACGAAAACCGACGTGGGCTCTTACACCGAGTGACTTCACACACAAGATTTTACTCGCCAGACAACTAGAGATCGAGTTCGCTATATACATACTTCTGAAAGAAGCTTGATGATTGGGACAATAAGTGGAAGTGTTAGTAGCAAAAGTAGCAAAACATGGATTAGAGATTCAGCACGTATAAAATTTGTCTGATCCCCTGATATCACCTTCTGCCGCCCC